AACCTCTAAATAATATATTAAAGCCCTCATGACTTTTAATGTACGTACCTTTGTTTTACTACCCGGAATTCCTTGTAACCCAAGCACTGGTGAGCATGATTTGAACCTCTAAATAATATATTAAAGCCCTCATGACTTTTAATGTACGTACCTTTGTTTTACTACCCGGAATTCCTTGCAACCCAAGCACTGGTGAGCATGATTTGAACCTCTAAATAATATATTAAAGCCCTCATGACTTTTAATGTACGTACCTTTGTTTTACTACCCGGAATTCCTTGCAACCCAAGCACTGGTGAGCATGATTTGAACTTCTGAATAATATATTCAACTCGTTGAAATAATACGTTTAAGTATTATGTCCAAAGAGGACTCGCTTATTCATTGGTCAAAAATATTTCTTAAAGTATTGGTTTTATGTTATGGTAGAACGAGGGAAATTTGTTTTTGTTGAGAAGGGAAATTAATTGCCACTCGATCACGTGTTGGCCTCGGGATTTCGATCCTTTCTATGGATCTGGGAGGGTCAGGTTCGTCTTAGACCTCTTCTCCTGAACTGTTGTGAACTTTAAGCTTGAGCATGGTAATTAACGTGCATAACCACAAGCAAACAGGTTATTATAACCGCAAGTTTAATCATTCCGATGTGTGACAGATTTTGAAGGACAGAGATCTTTCTGTCTGTCCGTCTGTTTTGTAACCTTTTATATCCTTAAAGAGTTCGACAGATATTACTCCTCCATCAACAAAACATAAATATTTCAATTATTATTACTTACAAACTGAGGTTACCCGTACTTTATCCGGGTTATGAACTTAAAAAAAAAAAATGTGTCAGTGGATGATATATTAAATAACACAAACATTCTAAGTTTCAAACAATATATTTACGACATAACATATTATTACAGTATTTATTATTAACTCACCCAAAAAAGTTTTGTATAAGCTTTAAGAACTTAATATGTATAAAACTGATGATCAGGGTGATTTTGTAGGAAGAGTTAGCAGCTAAAGTGGTGGCGGTAGGTGTGCTTTCTGTTACCCGCCTTCAACACTCTGCTCTTAATGTCCTCACAGTGTTTCACGTGATTAATTAATTGATGGTCATTGGCCGCAGAAGTGTCTTATGTGTCGAACGTGAAAGGTCACATGTCAAAGTAGAAAGTGGGTATAACTCAAAAAACGGCTCTTCACATTAGCCTTATGGTGGTTGTTGGAGTAGAAACTTCAACTGAGTTTATATAGTATTGCAACAGTGGCGGCCATTTTTTCATTGCATTCCTCCGTAGAGAGAGTGCTAGCGCACTCTCTGAAATATATAAGACGTTTGTGTGCCCTTCCCCCACACTGTATGTTTTTTATAGCAAATTTAATAATTTTTTTTCTAAGGACGTGACACCATCTATGAATGTAGTTAATGTTAACTTACGTCAAAGATAATAAATATTCAATAACAGCAATAATGGGAGTGAAGGGGTTATGAACCCCCATTAACATGCCTCCTGTTCCAAACTATCATCCCACAAAGTTTGATTGAGATTGGCCAAGCGACCTAGGAGTAGTTAGATAACAGACAAACAGACAGATTATTTTTGTGCTTTATATATATATAAATGATTAAAGTGTCCTACCATATTTAGTGTTAATATGATAAGTGCACACGGTAAATGTGTTGTTAATCTAATTTACTTCGCTATACGTATAAATATTTTAAGCAGTAAAACTTATATATATTGTGTATATTTACGCTGTTACGATTTCACATTACAGCTGTACAAGCTATCACCACTTAGGAACAAAGGAAGTGGTAGAAACATGTAGAAGGCCCAGTATACGACCATTGGGTTAAAGAATTTATGCACTACCAATGCAAAGAGCACTTTTGTATTTATGTGAAGTTTAGAATTTTCTAATGTTTTATATTATTTCCATATTTATGATAAGTAGAAACAAATAAAAAAAACTCATTCTGCGCAGTATTGAACAGATTTTTAACTAAATAAATTAAATGGCACTTGTGAATATGTAAAACATAAAAAGTATACAACGTTGTACAATTATTAAAAAAGAGAGGCTCTACGTGTTTCGGTGACGTTCCTGATGATGGCCCTCCCCAGTGGCTCAGCGGTTTCGATACCCGTGGTGGGCAGAGCACAGATAGCCCATTGTGTAGCTTTGTGTTTAACTTTAATCAATCAATCCTGATGATGTGGTCTAGAACCCCACCGAAACGTGCAGTTTCTCTTTTTAGGGCTGTGCCCTGTTTTTAATCAATTTTATCGGTCATGTAAGTATTTAACGTTGTATATATTTTTAGTATTTAACAGACTGTTGAACTTGAATACTTCTGTCATCCGTTAATTATCAAATATAGAACTAATACTTAATGAAAAATATTACTTATTTAAAAGGATGGTGAAATTACAGATTCATAGGAAACCATTTTGTGTTTGTGTGTCGTAAATGATTCTTGCTATACACAAGAAAGGCGACAATTGAAAAAGAAAACGTTAAGCCTAAAACCAGTGTTTCATATGCTCTGGATAGTTTCTGATCTTATTAGAATTGACTAAATTGTTAATCTCTAGAACTTGGGCATGATAAAAATTACGTCATAAGCTCATAAGCTCTAAATAGAAATATGCGGGGAATTATCAAGTTTTTAATATTTTATTAATCGTGATCCTTCGAAGATGAATGTTAGTGCTGGCCCGTCACATTACGTCTGTACCAGTGGTGTAGTGCTAAATCGTATAATGCTGGAGAATTGCCATCATGATCCTTCGAAGATGAATGTTAGTACTGGCCCGTCACATTACGTCTCTACCAGTGGTGTAGTGCTAAATCGTATAATGCTGGAGTAATTGCCATCATGATCCTTCGAAGATGAATGTTAGTACTGGCCCGTCACATTACGTCTGTACCAGTGGTGTAGTGCTAAATCGTATAATGCTGGAGTATTGCCACCATGATCCTTCGAAGATGAATGTTAGTACTGGCCCGTCACATTACGTCTGTACCAGTGGTGTAGTTACTACTGGCCCGTCACATTACGTCTGTACCAGTGGTGCAGTGCTAAATCGTATAATGCTGGAGTATTGCCAAGATTTGTCAGACATGTGACGTCACCATAAAGGTAAAGATTTCAAAGGTTAATTACAATTTTTTGAGTCAATTTTAAATAAATAAAATATACAATTAAACTTTCCTTAAATTAAGCAGTAAGGCAAAGAAACAACAACAACTGGGTACCAAATAGAAATCACTAACATTAAAACAAGCTTTAAAATCGCATGTCTTGATTTTTATAATACCCTGCGTACATCCTATCCTGCTAACACGAATAGCTAAAAAAAAAACGACCTTTGGTTATGAAAGACACATAATTTCAGGTGTAAATCGAATAACTCTTTTTTTACACACATATTTCTAATTTTTGAGGTGTCGTGATTTAGCTCCAACTTCACGTGTACTCCGGCAACACTACGCTCTTTGGTGTGTATCAACAATCTTTTAACACGAAACAACGAAAGTAATCCTTCTAACAAGCATTATCATGGTTCAAAAAGCCAACAAGTGAAACAAAAATGAACATAGGACTTTTAGTTAATGGGGACAATGCTCTATCCAAGAGTACAGGCCGTCCATCCTCTTTTCCTTTGACTCACAAGGTTTTGAATTATGAGAACGAAACGTCACCCCACTTCGTGGTGTTAACAGTATATACCCGCAGGAAAAAAAATGTAGAATTTGTACAAATGTTTTGAAAAATTAGAGCCCCACTTTGTGGTGTTAACAGTATATACCCGCAGGAAAAAAACTGTAGAATTTGTACAAATGTTTTGAAAAATTAGAGCCCCATTTTGTGGTGTTAACAGTATATACCCGCAGGAAAAAAAATGGTAGAATTTGTACAAAAGTTTTGAAAAATTAGAGCCCCACTTTCTCGCCCTTTCAGCCGTGGGGGCGTTATAAAGGTACGGTCAATCCCACTATTCGTTGGTAAAATAGTAGCCCAAGAGTTGGCGATGGGTGGTGATGACTAGCTGTTTTCCCTCTAGTCTTACACTGCTAAATTAGGAACGGCTAGAGCAGATAGCCCTCGTGTAGCTTTGCGCGAAATTCAAAAACAACCGACCTTTTGGTTGTCCAACTTTCATAAAAAAATAACAACAAACGAAACAAAGCTGTTTGATAAATCTTCGAATTGAGTAAGGCTTGAAATCAATTGGCGATTTTACGACGCTAAAAATCGGGTTTCGATACCCGTGGTGGGCAAAGCACAGATAGCACATTGTGTTTGTTAAGTATCACAATGCTACACAATGGGCTATTTGTGCTCTGCCCACCACAGGTATCGACACCCGGTTTCTAGTGTTGTAAGTCCGCAGACATGCCGCTGTGCCACTGGGGGGCAGCACATTGTGTAGCTTTGAGCTTAACTACAACAACCAAAGCAACTAAAAGAGACGATTTCCAGTGTTAATCCTACCAGCACCTTAACGACAAGTTGAGATCATAGTTAGACTGTTCGCTTGTTTGTTTGTTTTGAGTTTCGCGCAAAGCTACACGAGGGCTATCTGCGCTAGCCGTCCCTAATTTAGCAGTGTAAGACTAGAGGGAAGTTAGCTGGTCATCACCACCCACCGCCAACTCTTGGGCTACTCTTTTACTAATGAATAGTGGGATTGACCGTAACATTATAACGCTCCCACGGCTGAAAGGGCGAGCATGTTTGGTGGGACGGGGTTTCGAACCCGCGACCCACAGATTGAGAGTCGAGCGTCCTAACCACCTGGCCATGCCGGGCCAGACTGTTCGTAACTTCACGAATTTCATCAGAACTTCGACCGAAAATCTGAACAACACTTTTATATTTGAATACATTTTAAAGGACCGATTATTACCGAACTTTTAATACATTTATTTCTATATTGTTTATAGCGAAGAATGTTATTTTATTTTAATAAAAAAATTCATAAATAATGCGATTAAACCGCATCAACGGATTCACACTCACACTTATCCAACGGGATTGATTTTTATTGCATCTAATCTTATAAATTTTACAAAATATTGTTACCCAAATATTTTCTGATTTTCTTTACGCCTCGGAGACACCTTTATTTCAGATTTGGTACTGATGTAGAAAGATGAGACATATGTATATATATATATATTTGCGTTTTTTTTTCTGATTGGTGAAAAGCGTGAAAACAAACAGGATTTTCGTATCTGTCACGAATCTCCGGTCTCACCACTCAATAGCAAGAAGTTCGTTAGATCTTCACTCAGATCCTGTAAATTAGAAGAACAAACTGGTGGGGCTTATAACTTATAGTTCACTTGAGATAACCCGAACATATTTTGTACTTATATCACTCAAGCAGGTTAGAGTAATAGTGCTAACAGTTGGAAAAGCTATTCTGCAAATAGCTTTGTTCGTTGTTAAGTTTATAGCGTTATAAGCCTACTGACTTATCACTGAGATATAAATTGCCATCTTGTGTAGTTCAACAAAAAGTTTTTTCTGTAAAGGGGGCGCTTTTTTTATTATAAACAATTTATATTTAAAGCAATATTTATGAGTAATATCTAACATTGAGATATAACTATTTAGTGACCAAATAGTTAAAATGAGTTCATTTTTATTCCTCCAGTATTATAAATTAACATATTTATATTATCTGGAAAACAATGGCAAGCGCCATTTTGGTGACTATTAGTAAAAACCACCATTATTGCATGAGACATATATATACTCTAAGATCATTCGTGAGTAAATATAGAACGTTTAAACAAAATAACTTTGTCCAAAACGTAATGTCTTAAATAAATACATAATAACAAAATAAAATAAACAAACATGGCTACATCCCATTTGTAATGATGTGAGAGCGAAAAATATTTTTACCCTAAATTACAGCTGGGCAAGCTTGTTTCTAGCCATATTAACGTAATTTTTACGGTTTAGTTTGTTTTGAATTTCGCGCAAAGCTACATTAGGGCTATCTGCGCTACCCGTCCCCAATTTAGCAGTCAAAGACTAGAGGGAAGGCAGCTAGTCATCACCACCCACCGCCAACTCTTGGGCTACTCTTTTACCAACGAATAGTGGGATTGACTGTCACATTATAACGCCCCAACAACTGAAAGGGCGAGCATGTTTGATAGGATGAGAAGTCGAACCCGTGACCCGCAGATTGCGAGTCAAGCGCCCTAACCACCTAACCATGCCAGGCCTTGACTTATTAAGTATCTAATGATAATTTTTATATATTTTAAATGTTGAGATAGTTGGAAAGGTGTTCGATGTGTTATCTAAAAATGTGTTTTAAATCAATGCCAACTAACGTGAGAAAATCGGATATTTGAAGCGTTATGATTTTCGTTAATAATTTGTCGTCTAATTTATTTAGTGATTACATTAAGTGTCTTAATACCTAGTTTTAACTATTAAACAATAGAAATCCTGAAGACACTTAAAAATTTCGGACTAATTTTAATATTGAAACTCGATTTTTTTAATTACGTGTGCTCTTAATAATGGTCCCCTTGGTGGCTCAGCGGTAAACCTGGGGTTTATAATACTAAAATTCGGGTTTCGATACCCGTGGTACGTAGAGCACAGATAGCCCATTTTGTAGCTTTATGCTTAACAACACAAAGAAAAAAAATTATACTAAATTTGTTTCGTGTAGAATGAAACTTGACAAAATACTACTGCTGAACGAGGTTATAACATTTTACTATTGATGTATATACCCCCCGGTTTATAACATGTACTATTGAAATATATACCCCCGGTTATAACATTTACTATTGAAGTATATACCCACACACACACAAAACAACAACAACAACAACCGAATATCCTAGATTTCATGGAGTAGACAGACAAACATAAAATATGCTCATCAACACGAATAATGGAAATTACCCGTGACTTCCCCCCTCTATAGACTAGGAACAAAGTAGAAAGTTTCTTTTGTAAGCATATAATTATACTAATAAACTGTACAGATTATTTTATTTTAAGGCGTTTACTTTATAGTGCCGAGTGTTCGTAATCTCGTTCACAGAAAGACCTTTACCGTCCCCGTGAAATATCTGCTCCATCTGTTTCAAGGCAGTGATGAAACCTTTGATTTTAAGTGGTCGTTTTCGTCGACAGCAAATCTGTTCCTGCATTATGAAAATATGTTGTTAAAAACATTAAGGCTTCGCAGATATCTTTCATATATATATATATATCAACAAGATTCTTTACCAGCGTTCTAGGAACACCTCTATAAGTTAAATGAATTTTATATACTCCAAAATATCAAGCTGATTGAAAGTTTGTTCGTTGAATATCGCGCAAAGTTACTCGAAGGATATCTACATTTGATATCTATATTTGTCTGGTCCGGCATGGCCAGGTGGTTAGGAAGCTCGACTCGAAATCTGCGGGTTCGGAACCCAGTCCCCACCAAACATGCTCGCCCTTTCAGCCGTGGGGGCGTTATAATGTGACGGTCAATCCCACTCTTCGTTGGAGAAGAGTAGCCCAAGAGTTGGCGGTGGGTGATGCTGAGTAGATGCCTTCCCTCTAGTTTTGCACTGCTAAATTAGGGATGGCTAGCGCAGATAGCCCTCGTGTAGCTTTGCGCGATATTCAAAAAACAAACAAACTATATTTGAAGTGATGGAGTAGAGGGAAGGCAGCTTGTTGATGCCATCCACCGCCATCTCTTGGGTTACTCTTTTTACCAACGAATAGCGGGATTGACAGTCAAATTTTAATTCTGAAAGTGCGAGTATATTGGGACGGGATTCAATCCTGTGACTCGTAGATTGCTAGTCGAGTGCCAGGCCTAGTAGAAATGAAATAAAGTGTACGTTTATTTATCTATACAAACAGACTGGTGTGATTATCTTTAGTTAGGCCTCATTTCGCAAGCGGACATGAGAGATGCGCCAAGTTTTCAAAGTCACATTTATTTACTTATTAATAACGACAATTCATTAGTTGATACAGCCTGCTATCCGTTAATGCCAACTTGTTTTTGGAAGTGGATAATGCACCAGCCTTCCATCAAGAGGACCCAGGATCTAATCCTGGCTATTACTAACATAGAAACAGCCCTTCTTAGAACTTCCCTGAAGAAGACCCAGGATCGAATCCTGGCTATTACTAACATAGAAACAGCCCTTCTTAGCACTTCCCTGAAGAAGACCCAGGATCTAATCCTGGCTATTACTAACATAGAAACAGCCCTTCTTAGCACTTCCCTGAAGAAGACCCAGGATCTAATCCTGACTATTACTAACATAGAAACAGCCCTTCTGAGGACTTCTCTGAAGAAGACCCAGGATCTAATCCTGGCTATTACTAACACAGAAACAGCCCTTCTGAGGACTTCCCTGAAGAAGACCCAGGATCGAATCCTGGCTATTACTAACACAGAAACAGCCCTTCTGAGGACTTTTCTGAAAACGGAAGAAAATTTTCAACAGAAACTTAGGATGAAAAAAAAAACTAGTTAGTAATTAGTATTTAGTTGTAAAGAAAAGAATACCAGTTATTAGAAGTAAGTGGTCATATAGGTTATTAACCCTGACGACGATGTATTTGAAAACTTTGTATATTCTCGACCGCTTATCACTGCATTGTCGCAGGGAATAAAGTTAGGGCTAGAGATATATTAAACCTCTTTCTGTAAAGGGCTCAGCAATTCGAGGAAGGGAGCATTTATAAAATAAAGAGCTCCGAAACACACTTCAACCTATAGCAACGTTCTCATCAGGGAGAAGGCTGATTTATGAAAGGGAACGCCCCCGTCCAAAAAGCCATTGCAATGAAACTGGACACATTTCCTGTAAGAATCGCAAACAAGATAATAAACGAGAAATGGAATCCAACCACACCTCGAAATTATCGTCTGGTTTCACGAGAAAGATAGCTCAGGAAACTAGAATTACAGCAATCATGTTCGTCCACACATGTTAAGTCCACCGATTCAACACTAAGGAGTCCCGGTATAGCCTGGTTGTTAGGGCACTCGACTCGCAATCTTAGAGCCTCGGGTTCGAATCCCATCTCAGAACATCTGCGGGTACTTTTAGTCGTGGGGGGCGTTATCATTTGACGGTCAATTCTGCTATTCGTTAGTAAAGAGTAGCCCAAACGTTGGCGGTGGGTGATGTTGCCTAGCTGCCTTCTCTTTAGTCTATCATTTCAAAATTAAGGACGTCATGAAATTTAAAAAACGAAAGAAAGAAATAAGAAGAAAATCAAATCCAAGGGACCATTTGAAGCCGAAGTTCATGTCAAGATGTGGAGTCAGAGATAAATATCGCCATCTTTTGCATTTAGTGAAAAATCACCTTGACAGGTAGTAGCACATAATTATAGCTATCGGTTTCATCAACTAGTTACAAAGGCAGCACGAAACTTGCAATATTATTCTTTGGAAGAACGATTAAGGTACGTATAGGATTAAGCTCATATATTCAGTCACGATGCTGTCATCACACCACAGAAATGATATAAGATAATCACACACTTTTTACGAATTTTATTTCGTGTGTCTACAATCAGGGGGCCCGGCATGGCCAAGTGGTTGAGGAGCTCGACTCGCAATCTGCGGGTTCGAATCCCCGTCCTACCAAACATGCTCGCCCTTTCAGCCGTGTGGGCGTTATAACGTGACGGTCAATTCCACTATTCGTTAGTAAAAGAGTAGCCCAAGAGTTGGCGGTGGGTGGTGATGACCAGCTAACTTCCCTCTAGTCTTACACTGCTAAATTAGGGACGGCTAGCGCAGATAGCCCTCGTGTAGCTTTGTGCGAAATTAAAAAAAACAAGCAAACAAACAAACTACCATCAGGTACACAGGATAAAAAATTGAAAATAATGGAGCTACGTGGTTTACTATAATAAACACGATGCGTTCATATTTGGTACTGGAACACGTTTTATAAACTGATGTTTTTTTTTTTTGAAGTATGAGCAAAGAGTGATCAAAGTGAAAATAACACAAGTTCACAAAAATGTAATGAAAGCTGATCATAATGCGCTAATCTGAAAAAAATTCCAAAGGAACAGAGGAATAGAAGTAACAGGCAGTCAAGTCCCGTCGTGATCATGCGAAACATTAGTCTAAAAAATTCTAGACACATTTTATTACCTATTAAAATGGCGCACAGAAAACCTAGTTTTTAAAATATGGGTAACTGTTTTTGTTTCCTGTCATAAAATGTAGAGGGGATATTAATATCAGATATTCGATGATAAGTAATGCTCGGACACAAACACAACTTTTTACGATAGCTGGAAGTGTATATATGTTTCTTGAAATACACATCAAAAACATTTATTCAATTTTATTGCAATATTCTGACAGTTTATAACAATAAGACAAAGAAATTGGAGAATTGTTAACAGAAGCTGTCAATAGATGGCACTGTTTAACAGTAACTAAAATCATGGCAAATTCATAGTTCAAACCTTTTGGAAACGAGAAATAATACTGTAATAAACACCAGTGTTAGGCCATCAATAAAATAAGAGACTTACAGATATACAGGTTCTATACATAAAATCATAGTAATTTGAGCCGTTTTCAAGAACTCCAATTTCCTTCTTTTTTTTGGGGGGGGGGTGAGAACTTCACATGTGTTTAAGGAACACCATTTTGTGGAGAAAAACGATAAGAATGAAATTAATTATGGAAACAAAAAATCACTTGAGTATAAAGTCAGCCAATTACGTACGATGGTAGTTTATTTAGTTATTATTATTTTTGTATAATACACACACACACACAAATACTTATGTACGTTCTCAACATATACCCTTCTCCGGTATTCTTAATGTTTACCAGTTGATCTTATCTTTAATTTACCAGTTAAGAAGCTAATTTTATAAATATAGTACCGACTCTTTCTTAACGAATATCTGCCAGTGGATAAACTCACATTTCAAGAAACAGTATAGACCTTACGTGAAGTTAAGACAGTAAAAAAAGTAGTAATTATTTAGATTTCAGGAATTAAGTAGTTAGTTTTGGATGTACAGTACTTGAAGAATATCTTCAGTTTCATCCTTCATCGTGATGATGACTGCTCCCCAGATTTGTCGAGCGAGATTATGGAAGGCCACAGTGTCGAGAAATAGGTTCATGCTGTGCAAGGTTTCGTCTATATAATCTGATAGTTCGAAAACGGCCTGTAGGTGGTGTTAATAAATATTTGTTTAAAAATAATGAGAAGAACAGAAAAATTGTTCAACATTTAATGCAGGTTATGTTTGAAATAAAAACTTAATTTAGAACTGTTTGTTAGACACAACGTGTTAAAGTTATCGTTTCAGACATCTATAAATAAAATAATGATTTATTTATATAAGCTCGGATAATGTAAAATACAATTCACGTTCGTACTATAAGTGACCTCGAGGCCCGACATGGCCAGGTGGTTAGGGCACTCGACTCGCAATCTGAGGGTCGCGGGTTCGAATCCCCGTCCCACCAAACATGCTCGCCCTTTCA